GATAATAAGAATGAGGGAAAAAACAGATTTATCATCAAACAACAGCAAAAAAACTTTTCAGCCTTTGGAAGAAAGTCAGATTTTGCTGATTTCACAGATGGAATGAAAAACTCAAGACCGCAGTTAGCTCACTTCAGTATTTCTGTTTGTCAGAGTTAACATTAGAAAATGACTGAGGAGGTGAAGAGACAGGAGGTCAGGCAGTGTGGGCGTCAAGAAGGATAAAAGAACTTGCAGCAGTCAAAGAGGCAATGAGTGTGTGATGAGGCCGCCATGTCCTTTCAAATAAAAAAAGAATAGCAAGATTTTAAGATGCCGTTTCCAAAAGACACTTGCCTCCTTTATAATAATAATTCAGAAGGCAGTAGACTTAAAAAGAGTGATTTCTAAAATTTCTGAAATAGATGAAGTCTTGACCTCAATAATAAGACTTTGCCCTTGCCGCTTGCCGTAGAATTCTGCATAATACAAGGCAAATCACCTAAAATCAAAGTTCTCACAGGTGGCCACGAATTGCATGCTTTTCATTTTCTAATCTTGACTTGGGAGCCTGGGATCTCGTTTCCAGAAATACTGAGTATTTACAGCTGTGGCTCATTAAAGACTCTGAAGTTATTTAAGGCCAAGTACAGCCAACTTTGGCCACTCTCCATTGCCTGGAACAGAACCACCTGAGGCAGGCAGACAGGCAGACAACTTCTGAGAGGAATGTTTAATCCTCATTATAAAGTTGAGAAATTGAACCTCAAAGACAAAAGTAAAATTTCTCTAGGCAATTTTTGTGCTCTACTACATCTCGGCTAATAAACTCTCCTGGATTTAGTAGTGGCATGTCACCTCCTTTCTAACTGTATTTTGGACCAATGTCTGCCTCTAAATTGTCCTCTTTTGGTACCAGAACTTTTATTTCTTTCTCTATATTTATTTTCCCAGCCCATGGTGGTTTTTCTTATAAATTCTGCAGCCAGCTCTGGGAACGTCACCCTTGACCTATGTGAAAAAGGCACAGCCTAACTCCACCCAGAGCTTCTGCACCGCATTTCTCAAAAATTAAAGAAGGATCAGATACGTGTAAGTGTTCACAAGGTATAACAATGAATGTTACAGACAAGAAGAAGAAGTAAGTGTTTTCAGAGTAGGAATGAGCAGTATGCCAAAAGTAAGTTGTAAGTCCACATGTCAAGCAACAAAGAAAAAAATACATTGTTCTTCGTGTGAGCACCATTCATTTGTCAGAATAAATGAGGCAGCACTTCTAGGGAGAAACTGCTTTTCAATGTAACTGTAGTTCTCATATACAACCATGGGAGCCATTTAAAGTTACAATTCTGGTTTAGAGATGGCAAAAGTGATTAATTACTTTCTGAAGGTGCCTATCCCAGGTACCTAAAAAGTAACTTAAATTAGATTTCTAATTTTTAAGCAGCCAGAAATATATACACTTGATGATACTGAAAGAAAAAGGAGTTAAAGTTAGACGTTCAAGCTCGTCTAAAATTTCCTTAATTCTGCATGCTTGACTTTTCCAACTTTAACCCATTTTAGACAGGTTTTTATTTTAAGTACTAGATATTTGACCCTTTTAACCTATTTGTGTAATTCAGCTTTTCAACAACCTAAAATTGAGGTGTTACCATAAACTTTTTTTTTTTAAATAATGCAGTATTCAGAGAGCAACCCATGCAGAAGAAAATAGACAAAATTTTTATGGGCAACCTTAAAGTTATAAACTTAACTTTCCATATTGCAAACATTATTATGTCCCTCTTCATTTTTTCTGGTGAATTCAGGGAAAAGCTGTATTCAGTGACAGAAGCAATTATATGATGCCCGATTTTCCCTCTGTTGTCTATTCCACTTCTTGTTTTTCCAAACAACATAGGTAAATCACAGAATCACAGATCTTCTCATTACCACAAACAAATTTTTCACAAAGATTTTTTTCCCCCCGTGTCTATGGGAAACTGTAAAAAAATTTGTGCTACAAAGATTTTCTCTTAAAAAAGAGGAAGAGTCAGAATGAAATATCTCATTTTCAGTCTAGGTGAGGATCAGCCCCATATTTTACTACAGTATTGATTAAATAAATAAGAAAATATCCCAAAGTCAATTTTTTCATTTAACAAAACACCATATAATGTCTAGCATATTCTCAACTAATTTTGTAACCTTTTTTGTATCTGACACTTTTAATAACCTCATTTTATATTTGATAGCTTAAAGGCCCTAGTTTAGAAAAATCTTTTAACACAGAATTTTGCGACAATCAGACTTTTTATTTAGCACGGTGGCAGATTAAGCAGTGTTTTGCTTTCATGTCTACTCTATTTATTTTAGGTTCTGAAAAATTCAATACAGGAATAAAAGGATCCAATTCTGACTAAAGCAAAGGCTACAACTCCAGAGCTAACATTTTCCTATCCAAAGAAACAGGGACAAAATGAAGAAATACATGTAATGGAATCTCACAATGTAATGGTGGTCGAGCATACACCCTCAATTCAACAGGACTTGTAAGCGTATACTTATCTGTGATTTTATAAGCCATCCCAGTGACAAGAGGCTATACTGTACTTCAAGTTAATCTTGTGTTTAAGTATGTGCTGAATGAAAAACATGATGTATACTCGATCACCAGTGCAAAATATTAATCATAAGTATTTTCCAAAGGTTGAGTAAAAAGGGTCTTTAAATCTGAGCATCAGGTCTCAGTGACCTCTTAATCCAGAAAGGGTGTGAGATTCTAGGGGCAGTTCTGCCCTATACTTTAGGTCTGGCCCCACACCCAGATGTCATGGGAAAAGACAGGAGAATACCGTGAAAGCTGATGAATCATCAGTGACCTAAATCAGCCACAAGTGGCAATGCTCCTCTTAAAGCCTCCTCTGCTCTCCTGCTCTCTCACCCCGCCCCCACATACACAGTCACTCACCCCCTAACTCAGACACACCCTAACTCAGACTGCAGCCCAATGCCATCATTTGTAATCTCTCTGTCGCAGTTAAAATTTGTATTTTTCATAATTGCTAACATTTTTGTTTCCCCAATTTATTTTAGTGTGGTGGACTACTTTTAATCTATTAAGTCCAATTTACACCCACTGACGCTAACCACAATTATACATATGCACTGAAAGAACAGACCCACGTCATGCCTGCACAGGCTAACTCACCCTGGCTGTGTGTCGTCGGTCACGCAATGGTACGTAAAAGTTCCAAACATCTGCACTCCCAGGATCCCGTACAGGAGGAGAAAGAACAGAAGGAAAATTGAAACGCTCCAGATTTGCTCTCCGGAACGCCTGGCAAAAAGATAAATATGACACTGAACGCACAGGCAACGTGAAGCCTCCTCTGAAAAGCTCCAGAAGAGAAAATATGCTCACACAGAGAAAGTAGTATTTCATCCTGCAGAAAATTTGTCCTTAAAACTGATCTCTCACTCTGTGCAGAGATAGAAAAGGGAGCCACGATTTTTTCTAAACCCGTAAGTTAGGGTAATTAAACCAGCTGTAAACTACAAAGGATGGAACAAAAAAAACCCAAATAAAATCTATAACATCTAGCTGTTGTAAAATAGTATATAATACTATTAGATATATATACTATATACTTACAGTATATAGACACTATATATACCATATCTTGACTTATATAGCCAAGATACGATGCTGAAGTAAAGTTGATACCAAAAAACTCTTTCACATTACCATTACATGGCTTTTGCCATTACATGCTGTATCAAATGTACTTGTGTGTGTTTGCTTGCATATATGCATCTCTGTACATATACCAATACATGTACACTCGTAACTGTAATGGTTAGGGCATGGTGCTCATGTATTTTTATTTACGAATATTACCCTACCAAGAGTGTTCACCTTGATTATTAAGTGCCCATATTAATGGAACAGAATTTACTGCCATTGGTTGAAAATTGCTGGCTACAGTTACTAGCAAAATGCTTTAAGATTTATTTAAATATTTGACAGTTTTGATAATTTCCTAGGAAAGTTGATGATTCCTTAAATATGGAAAATAGCAAGAAATTTTTGGCCAGAACTAAAACTCAGGAAGAAAACACCCATTAAGCATGAATGGTCATTCTCGGAGCTGCACAGTCAGTCTTCTAAGTCAAAACTGAAATTTTCTCTGTTGTTCTTCAGATAACACCCTTACTTACTTCAAGATATTTGTTATCCTAGTTCTTGGCAGCTCAAAACGAAAATATATCCGGAATGCTCGAATCATAATGAGTGGTCGTGGAATCCGTAACATGCCCCAAGGTGACATCTGGTCAACTATTTCAGCAATTTCAAACACCTACAAACAAAAGAATTAGGAGTTTTCTTGATGACCTTGTCCTGTTCCTGTATTCATTTACAGAACTTCTAAAACTATGAACACTATACATGATTTTTGTTTTCATTTTCAATCTTCTCTCGGTTCATTTTAACCATGTTTTTTAAAAGAAAAATCTTAGTAAATCCTTCAATCCATTTCTAAGTTATCCTAATGAAATTCCAAAAATATGTTCTGCCTATGTTCATAATGCTTCTGTCTCAAACAACTCAAGAAGACTGTGCCAGCTTCTGTCAGCTGCCTGCTTCTGTGCTAGTCCTACCCCACAAGTTTCCCACAACTTCGTTTAAAGTGAATAATTTACATTTCCAAATATGAAAATCAGTATCTGTTAATGTTGCACACCACTAAGGTTTTTACTATGATATAAAAGTACATATACACAGATCGCCTTATGAGTTGCAACATGCTTATAAATTCTCCATTTAATTCCAAGTGCATGAGAAAACTGTACATGTTCTCCTAGACTCCACTTATGGCATGAATTTCAGCCAAGCCACAGAACAGGGAACCATTTCCTTAATACATTGACAGGTTTGGCACTCGATAAAGACTATTTACCTTAATGATTGGGTGAAAATGTCTTGTTTTAATCCTTGTCTCTCACTCTCTGAGAATAACTGCTTAATTTAATATTTGCTCAAAATACTAAGAAAATGGAGGGGGAACATGGCAACGCATAAACTGGGTAATCTATGGTGCTTATCTGTAATGATCAACCTTCACTCTAAATGTGTACATGATGTACCAAAGTTTCCCCTGTGTATAAACCAGAAAATTACAATGTGTCTTAAATTTGTCAGAAGTGGGTAAGTTATGCCTAACAGCAATCACTATAGAACTTTTACAATTCTTACATTATTGCAGGCCCAGTCTCACAGTCTTCAATCTGTTCTTACCCGAAATACTGGCTATAATTAAGGACTAATTGGTTTGCAGGACACAATTTGACCTGTACCTTAACACTCCACACTTTTTTGCAACATGTCCAAGTTCCCTTCTTTATGAAAATTTATCAAATGTATTTATTATTCTTTTTTCCATTGTGCTTTAACTTGAATTTTGGAAAAGGGTTTTGTGAGGTGTGGGCCATATTACATGAAACCCCTCCACTCACCATATCAATATGCCTACAGCATGGCAAACATCTACCATTGGAAACATTCTCCCTTTAGTTGCCTAAGCTAGTTACCATGGCATCTTACTAGACCCAACGGAAGGAGATGAGCACTACTGTCATATGGAGTAAGAGATAAATGGCTCTCTGAAGATCCTTCTCTTTCCTTTTGACTATACAGAGGGTTTATGGTAACAAGCTTCAGATTAATGTATAACTTCTCAGTAAGAGAAATTAAACAAGATAAATTCTACTACTAATGTAGATATACTGCAATGTGCAATTATGGAGCTATTGAATTCAGCACAGTTTTTTAAAAACAATTTGACCCATGTACAGCTATACTTCCACAACTCGTAATTACTTGGTTGTGCCATATATTTTTCACAATTAAGGAACTATTCATTGAAAAAGGTAAGTAAAATAATTACCTGCAAAACCAGTGACACCCAAAGACAAAAGACCATGAATCCATCAAACACACACCAACGATCCTTTACATAGGAGCTATCACCCTACAAGAGAGAGAAAAGCTAAGAGGTAAATTGTTGTTGTTTTACTGTGAGGATTTACAAATATCACAAGCAAAAGTTCTTGGAAGAAGGAAAAGTCTTCTCTGTACCACTTTTAAAATGCTACTTTTGAAAGACTCCAAAAGCCTAGTATCTGAGCTAGAATATGCTGGAAACATACAAACACATCTTATGGGTGAATAAATGGTAGCTTCATTCTTGTGCAGTGCTTCTCCTCAGTTTGTGTCAAAAAGAACTTATAAACAGATCTATTATTTACACTTTGATGTAAATCAAAAAACACACAAAGAATGAACATTAGACTCACTTTTCCACTGTATTGCCCATTACAAAATACTTGCAGAGGAAGGTAAGTGTAAAATGCTAGCAATCTAGTATTGTGCCGTTCAATTACTTCAATACTGTTCAACAGCTTCAATTAAATCAGTATCATTTTACATTATTTTTTCCGTAAGTTTTCACTAATTGTTCATGTTCTAGAAAAGTCTTGCCATTTCCAAAACACGAGACAGTAACCACCATCTCATCACAGTGTCGGCTTTCAAGTTTCTTTGGACATTTCTTGAGCAACTCTTGAGCAACCATCTCAAAATGACAATTCATTCTTTAGACTTCATTAATAATAGGTATGGTGAACTTTTCAACATTGGTATTATTGGCACTCCATTAATTGTCTAGCAGAAGGATTCAGAGTATACCTTTGCACTACTGAATAAAAAAAAACTCAGGAAAGAAAACTGAGCACTGGATTCTTGATGACCCATATGCCTTCCTACCTGTTCTCTGGTTCTGCTTTAGACTTCTTCAGCTAGCTCTCTAAAACACCTGAGCACGGTTTTCGTGATAGTCCAATCCAGAGAACACACCTAAAAGGCAGCATGGAGAAGACTGCATCCAAGCTCAGTTTCCTCCACACTACACTATTCTCAACCACTGCTCCAGTTTGCATGCTTAGATATCCTCATGTCTCACGATGACTTGCAACACAGGCCTGCCACTGCAAGCTCTAAAAACACTTCTTTGGTGGGCTGCTAATGCCTCACACTTTACTTCAACCACCGAACTGAAAAAACCCTACATTTATTAGGTAGATTACGGCTGAGAGTTAGATAGTTTCGTGTACCACGTGCAGCGTAGAGGAAGTTGGGGACCAAATGCATATATGGATGCAGCTTGTTGAAAGGGAGACTAGACAAGACTAGACCGAAGGAAAGTGGATATCCCAGTTTCATGTATAGCAGTAAAAACATATGCAGAGGCATTGGCAGTGTATCTCAGGGGCACATAAACACCCCTTTCCAAATGAGGTTTCTCCTAACAGATTGAACAGATTGAACATACCCTCCCCTGCCTTATACATTATCTGGTTCCTTTTCTCTCTTTAGTGTTCTTCCAAATACAAACTACAGTTTGACATCCACTTTTCGCAGGTATAATTGGGGAAAAAATTATTGTCAGGTCTCAAGAATCTTGAAGACGTACTGGACTTTGGCCTGTTATGTGATTCCTGGCTTGATACACATTGTTTCTTATCTCAGCGATAGTTATTTCAGTCAAGCTGTACTTGTTTTTAAATGTCTCAGCATTTTCATTGATTCTAAAAGCACAGACAAGATGTTTTGTTTTAATCTAATTAATTTTCAATGACATACACTATCCTAAAAATTATTTATCATTTCTTGCAGTAGGTGACAGTAAGATATATTGAGTAGAGACAAAATACGTTTTTTTTTAAAAAGAAGTTTTATTTCCGTTGCAAAAATTCTTCAGGGCAGAAGTGAACAAAGTAAGGATATAAGGAAAATACTGTAAGTGATTTTCAAATCAGAAATAAAGGACAGAGAACTTCAATGCTATTTTCAGACAGAGGATTTTCTAACACATAAGGATATTAAAATTCTCCTCAATCCAAGAATTAAGAGGAGGAAGATTGCAAATCAGGGAAGCAACAGAACAGGAACTTTCCATCATAATTTTAACCTGTCCTTCCTGAAGAAAGTAGACTTAGTTCCCTAAGTAAAGTCTCAGCTAATCAGAAACTCTTCACTCAGGGCTGAACAAACTCAGCTGTTTCAGTGGTTATGTTCAGTAACTGTGAAGCAGATACATGTTATTTCTCTGCAGAGATCAGCTACTAGCACCCTAGATCTCTTACCCCTCTCTCCTCTCCCCCTGTTCCCTCTTAGTGAACAAATCTCCGGTGAGATTTGTATCAACGTGCAACTTGAGTCCTTCAATTGTGGCTCTGAACAAATATGCTGATTGGTCTTTCTCTCGCTGAAGAACTCTTTGAAACTTACTTTTCTTCTCTTAAGCACCCTTTGTCTAAAGCAAAAAGTTTTCCCCGAGTTGTGCTGTACAGATCTGAGCATGAACTCGTGTGGGAGTTCCTGTATTCACCTTCCTCTGAATAACCCAGCAAGGACTCACTGAAAGCCAAATCTTTTTTTAGAAATGGCTTTTTCTCTCCACAATACGTGTGGCATGATTGAAGCAGCTCTGCTGTTTTCTCCTTACAAAGGATGATGTCGTGACCCTTTCCAGTCTTCTCACCAGTCAGGCTGCTCCACCACCGCACTTCTCTCATTGTAACGTCAGGCCAGCTTCCCCTGCTACATCCTCCCTGTCAGGGAGGCTGTCAGCGGATCACCCACAGAAACATAGGGCACCTGACTTACATCTGTAGAAACTACTCATTTTGGGGGAGGTTTTGTCCCTTTCTGTTTTGCATGTAGGGAGGCTTTGGCTAAATCCTTTTCGTGTTTGTCATTTGGCTGGCAGCAGACATGGTGGGGAATCTTTAATGCATTTATACTGTGTATTGGCATATGGGATGTTACTTGGTGTTGGAAGCATTTTCAAGGCAGGACCACATCCTGCTTAATGTGAAAATCAGAATATAATTTTTAGTATGAATCTTGACATTGACTTCTAGTGCTACCTCCATGAAAAATCTACTTATGACGGCACACAGGCTAGCACTCCCATATTAATAGCAATGAACAGTGAGTTTCATTCACATTTGAAAGAAGCCTTGGGCTGAAATTCCACACTTACCGTCAATGGCAGCCTGTTCTTAGACTTGGAAAGGAATACAGATACAAGAAATTTAAATACATCTGGTGACAACTTACCTAAAATAGCTAAGTCTTGCAATGTGTTAATCCCTCACCCTTTTTTCATCATCTCTGCTGAAATTTGAGAATTATTGATGAGGTTTGTTTTAGAATTTTTTTGTGAATGTGCTATCCCAGACCATTTACATTATGGTTTACAAGTCTTTGAAACGTGATCTAAACATTTGCAAAAGATTAAGGATTAGTACTGTAGACTAGAAGCCTCATGCTGAGACTAATCCAAACCTCTTCAAGTCATTAAAGTTGCTGACTCCCTACTGCCTACAGTGGACAGTGGATTCTCTAATCTGCACAGCAAGTCCTGAAAGCTTCGCCAGCCACGTGACTTACAGTCTATCTAGACAACAAAACCATTTGCTTCTGACAGAGCAGTGGATGCCAGTCCACTTACGCAGTCCACGACTGCAGGCTTGGGACAGCCTTTGGAAGGCTTTTGCGCAGTAAACCATGCCCTCACTTAACGCCTCTCCCAGGCAAACTAAGGGGCATCGCTTGAACTCAGTGGACTAGCTAAGTAACTAACAGCTATTAAACACAAAGCGTTTTAAGATCCATAAAAAATCTGAAGTCCAGAGGAGCAATCCTGCTTAGCTGTTAGATTTATCAATCTTTTCTTTGTTAATTAGAGGCCTGTTCATTATTCTGTAATACCCCTCCTAGTCTCCCCAAACAGTTTCTCCTAATATGCTTCCATCTTTTCCCTCAGTATTTATTTACAACAGGTCAGCATCACTGTTAGGCTAGTACACAACCATGGAAATGGCCTTCTTGGTAAACCACACATGTGGAATGGATCGAAAGTCTGCCTCTTTCTTAGAGACGCTAATCTGAATTAATCTGAAATTTCACATCCCAAAAGAACAGACCAGCTTGACATAACGGTCTGTAATTAAAATATTCTCTGCCCTAAGAGAACTTAACTTAATTTTCTACGGCAATGTTGCCATAACTAAGGAAGAATACCTCAAGTTCAGCATAAGATCTTAGCATTTCTTTACCTATTCGAAAATAGGACCAACAAATAAATCTCCTCCCTTCTCCCTACATTCTCCTTATTTCACCAGTTTTTGCCTGATTTTAGCACCATTACATTAACTAAGTACAATGTATTAGCTCATTTCTTAATTTCTTATTTTCACGTGCAATACTAATACCCCAATAACAGCACTGAGATGCTGGAAGGCACACTTTCTCAACTGTAACCAGCGCATTAAAGATAAAATATCAACTGCCATTATTAGGTGCCCTGAACAGTCATTACACGAGTTCACAGAAAAAAAAAAAATTATAACTAATTATAACCTAACTCATTGGAAATGTGAGCCAACACAAAATACAGGCAGAACCACAGGCAGAAGTAATAACACCTGAGGTAGTCACTCCATGACAGCCATTACAGTTTAACTTATACCAGAGGGAAGACTAGCCAGACTGTAATTTTTTAATAAAAGTTTATTACATTATCAACCTTGCTGAAAACAAAATACTCTATGAAATCAACATCCAAATTGCATAAAGCAATCTACTAGAAGATTGATTATGTCTGCTAATTTTGTTAAGCAATTTCAGTATCTCATTGGTAAGGTAGACAGCTTAGCTAGACGATAGCACAGTCATCTCCTAGGTCATTTCTGCCCTGCTTATCTCTTAACATCTCAGGAACACCTCAGGATGAACAGCAAATCCCTGCAAGTGAAAAGCCTCCTCTGCCTCACTGCTTGCCTTCAGGAATTTCTTTTTTTCTCTCATCCCTGACTACAACCTGTTCTCTGAATCCTCCCGTCCTGCCCCTCTCCAGCCACCTCTGTGGGAAAGCTAAATAAAAGAAGTGATATGACATTTGCT